AAAAATGTTCTTGCCAACAGCAGAAACGTGTCTGTGCCAGAGCAGGTAATTCATAAATTATATGTGCCATTATGGTCATTGAACTAATTTATGAATTAAATAGCGCATGTAAATACCAAAGACATGCAACAGCGCACCTAACTCCCCTGGATTACAGGCACATAAATGTGCATTGAGGTGGATGGGCACCCTCCTGTTGTGGTGGAGGCTTGATTGGTAGGTTCATGCAGATAATCGACAGAAAGGGAGATTCTTCAACCACGTCCATTAGTTTCAATTTTCGTAACAAATTGTTAGGGACAGTTTAATGGAACAGTTATACATGCCGCACGGGCACAGACAATGGCATTAACTTCCTCCCAATGCCTCAAAATTTAATGCTTTTCACTTGAGCCCACTTGACTGAGACATGTGTAACCAGTGCTTGTTCAGTGCATTAAACATAATACATTTGAAATACTATCGATTGTGCCAAACATGTTCCACAAATGAGTTCTAACAGCATGTTATTTCCCAGTTGCATTATAGCAAAGTTCGCTTCAGAATTGCACAGCTTCAACGTGACCAGCTCTGTGTCAGATTCTAAGATTGAGATTCAATATGCAATGGCCATAGTTGCTGTGGCCATTGCATGTTGAATGTCAATCTTAGAATATGACACAGAGCTGGTTACGTTGAAGCTGTGCAATTCTGAAGCGAACTTTGCTGTAATTGATTCAACATGCAATGGCCACAGTTGCTGCGGCCAGTTGCAATGTTGTAAAAGACAGGAATAAACTGAAGCTAATGCCAACATAACACGATTACTTTCACTACTCGTGCATGCAGAGAAGAGTTGTTGAAGTGCGTATTTATATTCAATGATTACCCTAAAATTGCTCACTTCAAAAGTCATTGTTATGGGCATCATCAGGTCAAATGCCATTAAGTTTCACGAGAGTTGCAGCTTGGCCGAAACAAAAAAAAATGTCATTCAGGAGCCCAATATCTTAGCTACTGAATGTCACTGTTTGTGCTTGTGTGGCACGGCTATCGACCTTCTTTTTGCTAAAACTAAAATAAAACTGTGCAGAGTACTAGTGAAATAGACAGGCAGGTGTTTGACTTGTCCTTTCCATATTTTTATTTAAGCTTCTTTTTTGTACCGACTAGCCCTCCAATGCACATTGTGTGTCCTCTATGCTTTCTCTGGCTTAATTGTCTGATTCATTTGGGTCTAACGTATAAATGAGGACTTACACTACAGCGCTGTGTATGGGTTGTTAATTAAAGGGGTTATGACACCCAATTTGCACCCAATATGTCGTATGCAAGTAATCTCTGGGTGTTCACAAACAAGCTGGTGAAATTTTATCGCAACTGGTCGCGCACCCGATTTGTAACAAGCATGAGCATGCAGATGGTTCGAGCAACTGACAGCTCTAGCGCACTCGTGAGCCGTGACTTAACGAGCCGCTTGCTTTGCTAGCGACATTATTCCAGCCAACGACTGTTTTGCATACAATGGAGCTGACAGCTTTTCTCTGCTCGACATTGAAAATTGAACGGTTTGTAGCTGCTGAAACCTAGGTAGGTAGAAGGCAACGACTCCTCTTGGTGAAGCACAGAACGGCACACACACACCATAGTAAAGGGGTGGGTGGGGTTTACAACCGGCGACTTCTTGGGCTTATCATGCAGTGCGGTCTATTTCTTGTATATGTACACGCACAATACACCCCTCTATTTTCGCTGCAATTGGGTGGATGGCCGTGTCATAGCCCTTTCAACGTGCACTGTTTTATTCATAATGCTACACTAAGTTCCTAATTCTCAATACATGAAAACCTCGTTAGTTCGAAGTCACTGGGGCCTTGATAGAGCTTCAAATCAAGTGCATTTTTAAATCAGCGCAATATACAAAAAGTGAGATGCAAGGAACTTGGAATTAATCAAAGTAATCGGCGCTGTCGTCTGCTGTGCTGGCTAGCTCGCGGCTCCAACGGTTATATTTTTTAGCAATATCTGGTCTCAACTTTGCCGCAAAACGGGTGAATGACAGACCTCGCCGCTGTCACCGAAAAAAAAAAAAAATCGCTGTTCGCGGTCCCCGCGCAAGTGTGGATAGGCGGTCGGTGGCCCGTATACAAATACACGCAGCGGCGGTTCGTTGCATGCGGTCTGAGCAGTTTGTTGGTGAATGAAACGCATTGACTACAGTTTAGTGTATCTAGGCTCTTATGTACTGAATCGATGCACGACGCCTATGCAACATTAACATTAGCCGCGAGTAAAGCGCATTCTGCCTTTCATACAGATGTTCCCCCTGGGTGACTCTCTTCACGCTTCTGTACTAAATCACGCCTTTGCTATGTTTGCACGGGGTTAGCTTGTGTTACACCTGTTATGCACTGCTGTAGCATGACTGAACTACTCATTTACATTTTTGTCATTTGCATACTACAAAAAAGAGAGCAAGAAAGATTGTAGAAAGCTTGCATATCTGTGTGATTAGTGCACTACCACTGTTCAATCATTCGCATATGATTTTTTTGCTCTCATTCTGTTTACCCTGAAATGTGGGACAGTCGATAAATCTAGTCAAGAAAGCCGATGGCGTTTTGCACTACACTGCATTTACCATGTGTAAGCACATGTTCTTGCACCTGTAAAAATATAAAAATCTTATATAACAGTCATGTAGAAAGCTTTCATCGATGGATTGCGTGCATGACAGTGCTGCAACAAAGACCTGGTTAATGGGGCAAGCATTTCTTTTTCAGACAAAATATGACCATTGCCTCCCGTCAGTCACTAACAATGCCTCACAAACACTGAAGACAATGCAAAAAATGAAATTTTCAGTGAAATTATATGACATTATATATAAGGCATGCCGCCTGAATTAATTTTCAATGCCTGGGCTCTTTAAAGCGCTCCTAAATATACTAATCACATGGTTGCGCACGGTAACTCTGTTTTTTACAGCGAAAGCTGTTATGAGATCACAACTTGGGTCTCCCGCAGCGTTGTAGTTATTCGCCACTGCCGGTGTCCATAATCACATTGTGCAAAATTAGCAAAAAAAAAAAAAAAGACCTAGTACTAATGACACAGTGGGGCTCAAACCAGGGTCTGCTAGGTGCCAGCCCAGTATTCTACCACTTAGCTACGCCAGTGCTTGGGACTTCTTGGCAAACTTGCCCTAGGCAGGCTTGATGTTGGGAAAGGAATTGTGTTATTGTGAGTAACAAAGCGTTTTAGAATAAAAGAACAAGCAGGCGCCACACAATGCGAATAGTGTAACGGGTGGATCGTCCAATGCTCCAACCCACTACAGTAGCTTGTTCATGATCACTTAATAACTGTGGGGCATACCCACTTCTGGCTTGATTCCTCATCATCGTGAGCCACTGCATGAAGATTGCCACAGAATTCCTCGCAATAGTTTAGCAGATACCACGCTTCTCAGAAGAATTACAAAGGATAGCATAGGGAATGCCAGCCTACTACCCTAAAATTTTTATTAATGCCTTAGTGGGTACCAGCAAGTGTGCTTGCAAAAGTTACCCAATGAGTGTTTAGAAAAAGCCCTGAAAGGCCGCTCTTCTAGCTTTCACTGTGACTGTGCTGCACCTTCCGCGCAGGCCTGGCGTTTTTAAGTACAGTTCAAGTGATGATGTGTAGCAGATTATGTGATAGTAATATTTCTATGTAGTGGTGCCATGACCAGATAAACACAACTAAGGCTCCTCGCATAATCGATTAACTACAGTGCCGTAGCTGTACACTTACAAAGAGTGTGCAAAAGCATAGCCTAGAGCCTGTTTTTCTTTTTTATATAACCATGTCACTATAGAACGCTGCATTCACACAGGATTTAATAGTCCTCATGTTTGGGAGAATATCAAGAGCATTTTGCGATGTGCTTGAAACAGAAAGCGGCACCTGCTCTGAAATTATTCTGGTGAATGGAGGGTACACCGACAATGAACAGCAGTCTGGAAAGTTGCACTCGCCGATCTTATTACAATGCATTAGCAGCCGAGCAAGACCAAATGCTTTCGTACGTCGTTTCAGGAATACGTAGAAACAGTTACACTCGCGCTGACATGACTAGACAAAACCCACTTTGAGAACTTGCAATGACGTATGCGCACATAGAATCACGACGTGGCTAGCAGACAATGCACAGAGCGATCCACACTTCACCTCTTGGCCAGTTGCTGCCAGGCGGCGACAATGCTCGATCTCGCGGCCAATTGGGATCACTAAAATTTACGCCTGTGAAAAACAAGTAATTTTCACTGCAACACAGTAGTGACACATGAGCAGCATGTTGCCTGCTTCTCGCTGTTTAAAAGAAGTGTACTTTCTTAGTGCGCAGAATGTTACAGAAAGAAGTTGGATAGGATGAAGCATTCTGCACACCAAGAAAGTATACTTCTTCTAGAACGCAATACCTATCAGCCCAAGTAGCCAGTCGTTTTAAGTCTTCTCATCTTTGTATCAACTGTGCTCTAAAAGAAAGGCCGGCAACAACATGCTTGAACGTGAAGAGCAAGGAAATTATCCGGTGGCAGTTTATTGATGCCCGTGGCAATGTTTATTTCAGGAAGCCTTCGATAGCAGTGTCACCCAAGCAGCTTGGTTTCTTGCGTACATGGTGATACACGGTATTAGTACCTGGTATGATAAGGTTTAGGTAGATGACATTGTCATGCATTTATCTGAAGGGTCCCTCGTGGTTATCTGTCTTCCTGAAGATTATGGCTTAAAAGAAGTCAGAGTTTGAAGATAAACATGTTGTTTCTAGCAGCGCTCTGTCCTGTCCATCTGCACCTTTTCTGTTTTCATACTTTGTCTCGGGCTCCTATAAATTTTTTCAGATGCATCACCAGGAAACTTGGAAATTGACATATATTTCCCGGTATCTTGCGGTACAAATGACTTTATGTGGGCTAGTGGAGTTGGGCTATGCTATGCAGCTGCCTTTTCAGCAATGCCTGGCATGTTTTCAGCTCCAAGGCTGCGAGGTGCGTGGACAGCTGTCTGGTCTGGAGGTGTTGCGGCCACGCTTGCGGGAGCTGACGGTGGAAAATGCACTTCTAGCCATGGCCGACTTATCGTGCATGCTGGTGGCGGGCGACATCTGGCAGACGGCAGCGTGGCCCCAAGTGCAGCGAGCACGCTTCAACCACAACAGCCTCAACGCTATCGACCTCAGCATGGTGAGTCCAGGGGGCCTTGCGTCGAACCGTGGTAGGGGTTGAGTGGTAGTGCTCCGTGGCATAGTTGCTTCATTCTGTAGTTGACAGTTTATTGTTACTGTTACTACTGAGGGATGTTTTGTGGGCCAATCCACTAAGCCTGTGTGATTTCTGTATAATTTTGCATAGTCAGTTGTTCACAACATTGCTGTGGACACAATATGAAAATATTGGAATGAATATGAGGCATTTAGATTAACTCTCCGACAAGTGATGTGACACAGCTGTGCATTTGGTCACGATGATGTGAGAACTACATTGCCGGACAGGCTGGCATTACACTGAAAGCTGCTGTGCAAGGATAAATAACTTGCATTGAGTGAGGCAGACGTGCACACAGGACTCTGCACATTTGCTGTAATTATTTTAATCTGAAGGAGCTACCTCGATGATCATTTCTAGCTGTTAAATGTAAGAAATCGTCTCTCATGAATTAATCTGTCATGGTTCTATAGCTTCTTTTTTCAAGTGCATTGACTTCTACAACACAATGTGCAACATTGATAACGTAAGAGCACATAGGGTCAGAACTGTTCTCAACTGAGGATTTGTTGTCTATGACATGCATGTATGTGTGAGTGCACGCGGAATGGAAGTTGAGAAAAGGCAAATAAAGTAGAGAACATGGAATAGACTGCAGTCTGCTGAACGGTTGTCCATATTTTTGAAGAAGTTTATCTACTTATTGCTTGACTTTACTGTTTTTATAGTAGATGCAATAGATCTTTGGAAGGACTAATGTGTTGGTGTGGCTGTGTTTATCTAATATCACCGTATCATTAAGCAGGGGCAATGTGTTACTAGGTTCAAAGTCAGTCATTTAGTAATCTGTTATTCATTAAAATGCAGATACGAGAAAATGTACAGGTGAGGCTCCCATAGTCGAAGACTGTAGCGGGACCCTCGTTTATTAATTATAGTTAACAAGAAGTTTGAAAGAGAAAAAAGGGAGTGGTTGTATCTCGCGCTGTACTACAAGTCAGTTCAACGGTGAGTCATGACCCAGCTGTCCCTTTTGTGGTCTTCAAGTGCACTCCACGAGGTCCTCTGCCAAGATGTGTTTCTTTGTCGAAGTAGCTGCGTTTTGCAAAGTGTGTTGAAATTGGGTTTAACCACATGTCGTGTAGCATGCAATCAACCTTGGCTGGCTACCCAATCAGTTGTGCCGCATGCACAGCTGCCGCTTCTGCTGAAGTTTGAGAGAATCACTTTCTTCGTTTATTCTACTACATTACTTCAGAGATGGCCTGGTTTCTGCCATCAACACTATTTATCATCTGTTCCTACTCATTGCTGTATTTTCCAGGAGAACATAGCACAAGTTGGGCGGTGTATTGTGTGACACGGGGTTAGCATTTGTTTGCTGCTGTACGTGTTATCCCTCGGCCACGCTGTACTGCTGTAGTAAAGCATGCCAGCGCTGCTGAGTGCGGGATAGCGTAACATCCAGATGTCAGCTGTTGGAATTTAATTCTGGTTTGCTTTTTTTTGGTTTCACTGCTGGTGCTCTCAATAGAGTGGATACATAAACAAAATTTCGGACACGGGGTTTACTCCCCAAGGTACATGCTAGCACGTTGCATCTCTCCCCACATATATAATAAAGACCACCACGCATTTGTTCTTTGTGAATGAGGCACCCGTGTTGCACGCCAAACGTCGATTCTGTTTTTTTTTACTCTTTATTTGGCGAGTGTACGTTTTCTTGAACAGTGATTCTTCCTCGCTGAGTTTTTCTCAAACTCCAGACTTCAATTTGCAATGAATGCCACACAATAAGTCAATTTATTTGCCATTCATTGCTTCGACATTGTTGGGCTTCTTTCTCATTTCTTGTGTATTTATTTCTGCTGCAGAGCTGTTAAGTGTGATCCTTCAGAAGCACGAACTGCTGGGCAAGCAGGTAATTCATCCTAACTGAATGCGCAAAAAAAAAAATTGGAAGTACGAAAGGAAGGCACCTGGACACAACGCACACTAACAACTGAAACTTTGTTCGAGAAAACATACATATATAGGCGGTTACAAGAACACGTGCAGTGGAAGTAAATGATTAGATGAGCAGACAAATTGTATGAATGATGCGCTTCCACAAAAGCTACCTCAGCCGGAAGTAACATAACTGAAGGCTGCACGACACATGAATCTTCAGTTTTGTTGATGAGATACACCTCTTCATTTAGCTGTAACTACCGTATCATCAAACAAGGGCACGCAGCTGCACTCTCTACGATGCAATGATAGGTTAGAGCATGGTTGTTCCTTCAGAGAAGCTTTGTGATCCATAATTCTATTATTGATACAATGCCTCGTCTGTGTAAAATAAAACTTCCCACACGACAACGGAGTGCGGTACACCACAGCAAAGGCGCAGTCGACCTCTTTGGCCCTGTGCCTGACCTTACAAGTACTGTTGCCATGCCACTCAACCTCCATCCTCCTAGCACTAGCAACTGCTGCGCAAATGCTGCCCAAAAGGTTGCCGGCCAAAAAGGAAACATCGCAACCGTACCTTGCTCCGACTTTCTTTAAGCGATGTGAGACACCATGTAGGTACAGGATGCTGGCAACCGGCAGTTCTTTTGAGCACCTACCAAGCACGGAGCCTCATGCCTGCGCTTTAACATCTTGCAGAACCCTTTCAGCCAGCCTAGCCAAACGGTCCTCGGGAAACCTAGACAGCTTGAGCCTGTCAATTTGCTTCCTAAGGCATTCCCCCATCCTGTGCGGGCAAGGCTTCTTGAGCGCTGCCTTTGAACATGTCGTTGCAACAGCATTCTTTACAACTTTAGAGTGGCCGGACCGAAAATGACACCCATTCAAAAGCACCTTCAAATCTTAAAACTCAATGCACTTGTCCTGTGGGAGCTCGAAGGCAAACTCAAACGTCCTTGAAAATCTTAAGCACATTCATGCACAATTGCACACACCCATTGGAATTCACAAACACATGATAATCATCAACATATTTAAACAACTTAACAACAACACCTTCCAGGGCCGTATCCAGGTCACGATCAACAGAACTTAAGAAAATTTCACCCAGAGTGGATGCAACACTCGACCCAATACAAACAGCAGACCTTGGAGTATATACGTCTCCTTTCCATCCGATTATAGTTGAGGACAAGTACGCAGTCAAAAGCTTCAAGAACGAAGCCACAGACACACCACACTTGTCCAGAAATTTAAGTTCGTCATTGTGAATCTGAATGCAGTCCTTTACAGACTTTAACGACCCACTCTGTGGCAAGGAGTAGAAAAGGTCCTCTACATCCACAATGTACCCTGACAGGGACTGCGGGGCAGCATTCATTAGGAAACAAGTCACTAGCTCAGAGTTCTTGACCCAGAATGGGTCCACCGAACGCAAGCGAGACAGATGTTTTTGTAGGAATGTGAAAACCTCATACTGCCAAGTACATCGCTCGAAAACTAAAGCGGGACGGTGCGTCTGGTTTGTGGGTCTTCACTGTGAAGAACATTTGACACAGCGAACCTTTTTCCTTTTTCCCTGCAGCGCATAGCTTATCCAACTGTAGATAATGTAGCCGAGCCATCACCCGTTTTTTAACATCCTCCGGCTTCTTATCCATTCCCTTGAGATTCTGCTCGATGGCCCGCAAGGCCTTCTCCTGGAACTAGCACTCGGGCATCACAGCGAAAGAGCACTCCTTGCCACACAGGCACATAATGCCTGGAGAAGTATAGGGCATGGGATGAGAAGTGGGTGTGAATGTCAAGACAGAAAATGGGCACCAGCAGGATTCGAACCTGTGGCCTTCGAAGGTCCCAGATTCAAATCCTGCCGGTGGCAAGTTATCTTTTCGTCCACTTTTCTTTCTCCACATTTACAACTACTTCTCATAACATCCATAACATCCCCTATACTTCTCCAGCCATTGTGCCTGTTAGTTGCCCTTCATATTGTCTAACGAAGAAAACTAGTAGGCTTGGTCGAATAGTGGATTATAGGCTTGAAGCGAAGACGAAGCGAATAGTGGTTTTGGTCGAATAATTTCGAATGGAAGTTGAATAGTATATAGTATATATATAAGATATAAAGAAAAATGGGCATATGTATCATGATCTAACTAACCTGCAAAATATTTTTTTATAATTTGAAATAGGGACTCTATGCAAATGCCTTGTCTTGTTTTCATTAAAAAGAAATAGAAAAAGCATTGAGTAGTAGCAGAGTTTAACTTTCGGTAGGATGCGAGTGATAACCTGTAAAATACACGACTTAAAAATTTATACTTAGAACATATAAGCACTCAGAAGAAGCTTTTAAGCTTAAAAGAAATGTTGAATTAATTGAGGGTAATATGTTCACTTAAAGGGGCCCTGCAACACTTTTTCAAGTAGCAATGGAATGGATCCACTAAATAAGCTTATTGCCTCACGAATTCTCCACCGCAAAAATTTTTAGAATCCTTCCAGTTCAAGTGGAGTTGCAAAGATTTGTCATACACTACAATTGCATTCTCCCTTCTTGTCCTGACAAGAGTGCTGAAAGCTGAAGAGAAATGATGGCATGGGGAAAGAAAATACATCACGAGCACCTCATGACCTTGAGCACTTTCTCTCTCTTTTTTTTTTTCTTCAAATAAGAAGCTTTTCAGTGTGATCGCGCACGTACGTGTGGGCAAGTGCCGGCCTCCCGCGGCGGCCCAAGTAATGACCGAGCGCGCCATGCTCAAAAAACCAAGGGCTTATACAATGGCTACAACAAGTTATTTTTGAGCAATTTTTAGCTGAATTTCAGAATTTATTGTGATTTGCAGGCTGGGTGCTGTGCTGTAATAATTGCTCGCCTATAGGCCCGCTGATAACGAACCTGAGCGTGACACGGCATCCGTTCGCTATATCATAACGTTCATAGTAAATGAAACAGCTTTAAAAGAAGTTGCCAATAAAAACACGAATTTTTTTCCCTGAAAAAAGTCCGTGATGCATGT